AGATATTACTCAGCAAATGGCAAGAGTGGCAGAATGAGAGCGAACAGGAAATCACGTCGTCGAATGCAAAAGAGAGTACTTGATAAAATATGGGTGTATATAGAAAAAGAGACAGGGTCTCATTGATGTTTGAGGACCTGTGGAATGCGAATCATCATCATCAAACATGTATATATAAATATGAGATTCTTAAAAATCTTCACAAGACAAATAAAGGCATTTATTGTTGATTGTTCTTTGATTAATTTCCATTAGTGTACATATATATATATATATAATATAATTTTTAATTATAGTATAATTTATAGTATAATTTTTAATTCTGTACACTTAGAAAAAAAAGAGTTCTTAATTTAAATATATACACACATAGAGAAAAGATTTCTATGATTTAATTGCTCAGATTTGTTTTCTTTCATTCAAAATAACATTTTTTATGAAACAAAAAAAGCTTCTTAGTTTCAAAAAAAATTTCTTTAATTCAAATAAATTTTCTTCTTAATAAAATGTAGAATATAAATTTTCAATGGAAATCCAGTAGAACGTTTGAAATATGCAATATATTTATATTTTTACACCTGCCTCACCCTGCTTTTCTGTACTCTTCTAGTTCACCGCCCTGTATCGAAAAAAAGCTACCGTATTCCCTGAAAAGTGTTACAATTCGGATGTTCCACTGATTATTAGGCTCTGTCACTTCATCGATATATTTCGAGATCAAAATATGACGTCAGAGGTCTGGAGGGACAACAAAGCAGACGACATGTAATAATCTTATGGAAAAATAAATTTGAAATCACTTATATTAAATTTACTCAAATCTTAATCACTTGAAATGCTTGTTGGCTTGAAGTAACAATAAAATGTGCTTTATTAATCAAATGTGTTATGCATGTGAACCAGTTACATGTGTATATTCCAAGATTTGTCAATAAATTTGAATTAGTAAGGTTAGGAGTGTTTGTTTACAAAGTAAATTTTTTTTATTTTAAATGCATAATAAAACGATATTTTGTACATATTATATTTAAAATATGTGAAGAACATATTTTAAATGGAAATCAACGCAAATAGTATAAAATAATAAATATGTAAACAAATGTTCCTAACCTCACTAAAATGTATTTAATCGAAAATCCTGAAAATATTGCCATGCAACTGCATCAAATGTATAACACATTTAATTAGTAGACTATACATTAGACTATTTTTTCAAACCAATAAGCATTTTAAGTGACTAAGATTTAAGTAAATTCAATAAAAGTGACATCAAATTTATTTCTCCATAAGATTAAAATGTGTCGTCTGCTTTCTTGTCCCTCCAGGCCTACAAAGTCTGAGGCGCATGATTTTTCCCAAAAATTAAAAAATTCGAAATTTTAATTGATCGAATTACTTTAAGTCGATATTTTCGAAATTTTATTAGTTCGATATTTTGTTTGATCGATATTCTAAATGATCCACATTTAAAGTGGTCGATATTTTATTTGTTCGATATTCTAAATGATAGAAATTTAGAAGCATCGAATTTTAGATCCATCGAAATTTAATTTGGTCGATATTTTAAAAGCTCGACATTTTTTTTAGCTATACGAGTTTCCTCTCTATGTTGTTATTATTATTTACATCAAAAATTTCAAATTTTCCGCAAAATTTCAATGTACTTTACCGACAAACTACATAGAAAGAAAACTCGTATAGCTAAAATTTCGACCGAATAAAAAATCGACTGAATAAAATGTCGACCTTTATAAATGTCTATCATTTAGAATTTCGATAAAATAAAATATTGACTTAATAAAATATCGGCCACTTTAAATATCGATCATTTAGAATTTCGTTCAAATAAAATATCGACTTAATTTAATTCGATCAATTAAATTTTCGACCTTTTTAATTTTTGGGAAAAATCATGCGCCTCCAAAGTCTCATCTCGAAACGCTCTGACGTCACAAGTGACAGAGCCTAATTTTATGTCAATAAGATTTTGTCATGATTTTCAACATAAAAAATTAAAAGATTTAATTGCATATTATCAAAAATATATACTAACTTTGAATCAAACAAAATTTAAAGTTTAAATAAAATATATTTTGTCAACAAAATTGTATTATTGAATTAAATATATGGTTCTACTAAAAATATCGTTTTCTCAGTGTATAATTATATTACTAGGAGATTTAAACAAATTTTCTTTATCTACTTTTTCTTCATATCAATGAAGTTATCTACATTCTGATAATAGTCAAGAAAGAGAAGCAAATAATTTTTTTTCAATGTATAGTTAAAAAATTCTCATAAGTATTTTTTTCCCTTCGTAGCGATACGGTCATATATACAATTTGAGCAATATAGAAAAAAAAGTATAGTTAATAGTTGAGTAGAAAAAAAAATTTTTTTTTCCTTACTTAAAAAGCTAGACAAATGGAGTCAATGGACCATGACAATTGTAAATAATCTCGAGGATTGATTTGGTTTCGAGCATTCGTATAGTCTCTTCCTCGTGCGAAGACGTTAAATTTATGACTTTTCCCTCGTCGAGGCAAAGACGATAACATGCATAATAAGCCGGCAGATAACGGGTGGTACATAAGTTACGACGCAGCGATAAACGGAGATCGTATATAATGCAAAACGATTTTGAACGAAGGGATGCCATCAAATTTTTACTAAAAACATTCCCATGTATATATATGTAGTGTCGAGAGAAAGAGAAGTTCTAAATAGCATTCTAACAATACTTATGCACCATCAGGCGGTACAAGTAAATTTCTATTTCATATAATTTTTATATATTTCTATACACTGAGAAAAATGTTTAGTCAGAGCAACCAAAATTTGGTTGGGCCAACAAAAAATTTTTTGTTGGTATTTAAGCAACCAAACTATTTGTTTGAGTCAACCAAAAAATTTGTTGTTGTGTTAACCAAATTATTTTGTTGTAACCAAATTTTGGTTGGAATTTAAAAGTGTTCAACCAAATAATTTTATTGGCCTAACCAAATGTTTGGTTGAGATAACTCTACGACTTTGTTTCAGCCAACCAAAATTTGGTTACAAGAACCAAAATTGCCTATAATCAAACAATTTTGTTGCAAACACTAAATTTTTTTTCTCAGTGTATATTTTTACTTTTTATTATTTTTATTTATTTATTTTAATAAATAATTTTTTTATTTATTTTCTACTATTTCGAAAAATAAAAAAAAATAATATTTGCTGATGGATTTCGAGTAAAATTTTCATTTTATGGAATTTCATTTGTCATCATTATTTTTGAGTCGAATTTTAATTTGTTCGAATTACTATTTTGCAGAATTTTCATCAAAACGATTTTCTGTATTACACAATTTTTATATAGCCGAAAATTTACTTCACAGAATTTTTATTTGTTCGAATTTCCATTTAACATAATAGGCATTTTAAAGAATTTTTATTAGGTAGAATATCCTTTGCATAGAATTTTCATTTGTTCGAATTATTATTTGATATAATTTCCATATAAACGATTTTTTATACTACAGAATTTTTACTTAACCGAAAAATCATTTAACAGAATTTCTAATTGATAGAATTTTCATTTGTCCGAAATTGCAAATGACCGAACAAATAATCGATTTTGGCGCGATTTTTAAAATCAACCAATCAAAAATTATCCATAAAATTGTGATTGGTTGATTTTAAAAATCGCGCCAAAATCGATTGTTTGTTCGGCCATTTGCAATTTTGGATACAAATGAAAATTCTACCAATTAGAAATTCTGTTAAATAATTTTTCGGTTAAGTGAAAATTCTGTAGTGTGAAAAATCGGTTAAATAGAAATTCAATCAAATAATAATTCGAACAAATGAAAATTCGACTCAAAATTAATTATGACAATTAAAATTCCATAAAATGAAAATTCTAACTAATGATTTTTAGAACATAATCATGCGTCCCAAATGATTATAATCAATATTAAAATTAGGTTTACATATTTTGCGTATATATTATAACCTGATAAAAGAAAAAGAATAAGTTACAGTTTCTTTTTTATACGGAAGATTATTATCATCAACGATAAAGTGCAACAAGATATGTATCAGACTAGAATTCATTATCAACTTACATGTCTTAATCGTGGAATACTTCCTGTATATATAGCAGAAGCTGCTGCTACTACTATACATACTAAGTACTGTGACTCAAATCATGAGGAAAGGTCATTAAAATTTTTTTTCTTGAATTTATCGTTTAATCTAATTTTTTTTCATTATGATTAAATACACGGAAAAAAAATTTACTTGATTCAAATAAAATTGGTTACTTGACTATATATTATTTCAAAAATTTCCAATTATTTCAAATAAATATATTTTTACTTGACAAAAATAATTTTTATTTGAATTAAATAAACTGTATTTTAACTAATAATTTTTGTATTTGAAACATAATACTATTTAAGGAGACAAGAGGTTTTAACATAACCTCAAAACTGCAAAATAGTTTTTAAGGCAACAAAAATTTAATTATTTTTTTTTTTTTTTTACTTTTTACTTTCAGAACAGACAAAAATTGCAATTTTTATTGAATTTTTTGAAACAATAACTTATTTTTACTCAATATGAAACATTCTCTACAAAAGAATGAATGGTATGAATTTTCCATAAAAGAATTTCTTATTTAACAAATTTTTACTTAACAGATTTTACATGTACCGAATTTTTTATTTGACAGTTATTATTTTACAAAATTTTGACTTATGCGAATTTTTAAATGACAAAAATTACAAAATGTCCGAAATTACAACTACTCGAACGAACATAACCTAAAAAAAAAGATTTCTATGGCGCGATTTTCAAAATTCGATCAATCTAAGAACCAAAAAAATTGTTATTGGTTGAGTTTTGAAAATCGCGCCGAAAAATCTTTTTGTAGGTTATGTTGTTAATAATTTCTTTTTTTTCGCCACTTTTCATTTTTATTATTTTTTTTTTTTTAATAAATGATTTCTACTCACTTTAAGTTGTTCTTTCACAAATCATCAAAAAGAATCACACGTTCCAGCCGCCATAATGCTTCAGTTGACTTTTGGAGTTGACTGCTTCTGAAATGAAAATTAAAGCAGGTGTTATTAAAACGAATTTTTATTTTATTACAAAATAAAAAAAATGCCATAATTCCTAAAAAAGAAAGGCAAGTATAATTATAAATTTCAAATAACAGCAGGAGCAGCTGATATAAAAAATTAAAAACCGGCAAATGGCAATTTTAAAACTTGTTTCGATTTTAGAACGATAAGAATATATATCTTGTGTCACTCTTTATTGACCCTTAAATGATTTTCATTTTTATCGTCACAAAAATCCCAATAGGAATTTTTTTTACATTTTTTTTTTTTGTGTAAAAAAAAATGTTCTGACCAATGGTGAATTTTTCTTTTGTTTGTTTACAATTTTAATAAACTTTATTCAATTTTTTAAAAATAATACTTTGTTTTATTTACAGAATATTTTTTTCTAATTGTAATAACTTTTTTTAGAAAATTTTTTGATTGGAAAATACAAAGCTGAAGTACGCAACGTTTATGATAAACAATTTTTAAAGAAATAATTTTTTAAAATGAAAAATTTTATAATCTTTGCCTAAAAAATATTTTCTTTATAATTTGTTGATTAATGAAAACTACAAGAAATATTTTTTAGGAAAAAAATTATAGAATTTTTCATTTTAAAAAATTATTTCTTTAAAAACCGTTTATCATAAACGTTGCGTACATCAGCTTCGTTATAGAATTAAAATTAAAAAAAAATCTTGATTATCAACAAATAATGAAAATAAAAGAAAAAAATTTTTTTTATTAAAAAATAAAATTATGAAAACACATACGGTGGGCTTTGAAATGTTAATTATTATTTTTTTAATTATCGATAATATTGTAATAAAGAATAGCTGATATAATCTAAAAAAAAAGATCCTGAGAAATAATAAAAATACAACTCTATATATAAAATTTTATTTCTTCAATGAAACAGAGAACTGATAAAAAGAGTGAATATTTTTGAAAGTTTAAGAAAAATTTACATTAATTTTAAAAAGAATGTCTTTAAAAATCACAGTTTTGTGTTTATATTAAGGAAAGACTAAAGCTCAAAGTGCACCTGCACCCACTCTTCTTCAAGTTTATATCGGGTGCCCGCAAGATGCAAAATGAATAATATTAATGATGCCACTTAAACTTTTACATATTAATGGGATTCAACTTCCTTCCATTGTCTTTTATCGACGGCTATTTCTTCGAGTGTCGATTATTTTATATTTTACTTCTTTTTTTTTTATCACGTTGATGTTAACGTTAACTAAACTTTAAACACTGTTCTCACATAATTGTAGGTGGGTCAAACCATTATATTTCAACTAAAGTGGTCGCTGACTAATTTTTAAAAATTATAATACTTTGCAGGAATGATTTTGAAGTTATCAAGATCACGAAATGAAAAGAATTTTATTAAAAATTTAAATATTTATTGTAAAATATGAATTTAAAGTATATGAGGTGCTAAAAACTGTCAATTTTTTAGCCATTAGAAAATATGCAAAAAAACATAGAATTTACCATAAAAATAAAAAAAAATTATTGGAATTTACTAAGAATGAATAAATTTATCATTATCAATTGATATAATTATTTAAAGATGTGAAGTAATATATAAAATATGATTTCCAAGTGCACCTGTCAAATAACCTAATTTTGCGATTTTTATTCATTAATTATAAAAAATAGAAAACATTAAATTAAATAAAAACTTACCAAATATGAAGTTCTTGCCATAAACTTTTAGAATTTCTTTGCACTTTTCTTCTTTTCTATTCATAAGTATGAAAAATTTAAAAAATAAAATAGCTACTTTGTCTATTTTCACTATTTTTGAAAGTCAATAACTTTCTTGGAGAAAAATGAAAAAATATGGGGTTTCGAAAATTATTTAAATACACACTACATATACATTCACTGAAAATTTCGCATTGGTTCCGAAGCTATTTTCGAAGATAAAGTAAATTAAAAATTTCGTATTTTTTAGGCTATATGGACATGGATTTTAAATCAATGTGAAGGTGGTTCACTGGTGACGACAAACTTCACATTGATTTAATACCTTTAAAACCCATGTCAATATAGCCTAAAAAATACGAAATTTTTAATCTACTTTATCTTCGAAAATAGCTTCGGGACCAATGCGAAATTTTCAGTGAATGTATATGTAGTGTGTATTTAAATAATTTTCGAAACCCCATATTTTTTCATTTTTCTCCAAGAAAGTTATTGACTTTCAAAAATAGTGAAAATAGACAAAGTAGCTATTTTATTTTTTAAATTTTTCATACTTATGAATAGAAAAGAAGAAAAGTGCAAAGAAATTCTAAAAGTTTATGGCAAGAACTTCATATTTGGTAAGTTTTTATTTAATTTAATGTTTTCTATTTTTTATAATTAATGAATAAAAATCGCAAAATTAGGTTATTTGACAGGTGCACTTGGAAATCATATTTTATATATTACTTCACATCTTTAAATAATTATATCAATTGATAATGATAAATTTATTCATTCGTAGTAAATTCCAATAATTTTTTTTTATTTTTATGGTAAATTCTATGTTTTTTTGCATATTTTCTAATGGCTAAAAAATTGACAGTTTTTAGCACCTCATATACTTTAAATTCATATTTTACAATAAATATTTAAATTTTTAATAAAATTCTTTTCATTTCGTGATCTTGATAACTTCAAAATCATTCCTGCAAAGTATTATAATTTTTAAAAATTAGTCAGCGACCACTTTAGTTGAAATATAATGGTTTGACCCAGGTATATTAAATTTTTTTTTAAAAAAACTTTATTTAAAAAATAAAAAAAAATTTTTTGAAAAGATATGATTTATAAAAAATCTGAGAAAAAATATATAAAAAATTTGTCTCAGAGCTAATATTGTAAGTAAATATTTATTTGATTTAAATAAATTTTTTTTTCATGAAAAAAATTTGTACATTAAATCCAAGAAATTCTAACATTGATATTTATAGAGTCAAAGAAACATTTCTTTGAATTAAATAAAAAATTTCTTTGAAACGAAGATATTTCTTTTTTTTGAATCAAAGATAATTTTTTGTTTGAAAGAAATAAATTTTCTTTGATGTATTATAAAAAAATATGTTAAAGAAATAAAATGAAAAATAAAATTTTTTTCAGAATAAATAAAATAATTACAAATGAGAACAAGATTCTGATTATAAATTTTAATTAAAAAATTTTTAATTTTTTTCCGATAAGATATTAGAATCCATAATTCATGTCAAAATAATTAAAACTGATAATAATTTTAAGTGTGAAACAATTTTTTTTTACACATATATACATAATTATAAAAATAAATCACGTAAAGTTTTCTATATTCCTTTTCAAATTTTTTTTCTATTCTTAACATTTTGTCATATATATATACTGATAATTAATGATCTTTTTAATTGTCCAGTGAAAAAATTTAATATTTTTTTTTTTGTTGTTCAAAAAAAGCGTTGGATCTAATCTTCTCTCTAAAATATAATATAATACTGTTGACTTTCTTACAAGATAAACAGACATTTATGACTTATGCAACAATATGATAGGAATAATGCTTTCTAAATACATAAATCTTGGTGTACAAGACCCATCCGCACTTTCGCGTAATTAATTTTATAATGTACCTTCTCAAAACATGACTTAAATGATGATCGATAAATTGAAGTTTGGTTATAGTTGTATATTGTAAATATACCTTTATATAGTAAAGAAAATAGATAAATACAACTATATTAATATTAACAATTAATTAGTATGCAAATTATTCACATATATCTATTGTGTATCATATAAAAAATGTATTTTTTTTTTAATAAATATTTAACAAAGTTGATGTTTAAAAAATAAAGAGACAAAATTTAATATATTGTAAAATACTGTTTAAATAAAAAAATAATTAAAAATAATGAATAATAAAAAATCACTCGAATTAATTCAAATATTTTCACTATATTTTTTCAGTTATAAATAAAAATATTCCATATTTATTAGTTAAAAATAACTAATTATTAAACTCATTTTTAGGTTATGTCAAAGTAACTACAAAAAAAGGGCGGTAATAGTAATAATATAAAATATAATAATAATAGAAAATATAATAATAATAATAATAATAATAATAATAATAATAAATATAATTATTAAAAAAAAAAAAATTTTCCATTACCTATATTTTCATTTTTCATATATTTATGTTCAATCGAATTTCAATTTTTTGATTTAAAATAATTCTAATTTAATTTAATTTTTATTCTACGGAATTTAAAGTTAGTCAAATTTTTAAAAACCATAATTTTCATGTCACCAAATTTTTTTTTTAATTTTTATTTTTTACGATTGTAATATTCAAAAATTCTTAAAAAAACGTCGACTTTTTGTTTTACCGAAACGACCGAAACTGCAAATGTCCGAACAAACATAACCTACAAAATTATTTTACGGCGCGATTTTTCAAATTCGACCAATCAAAAATTATCAAAAAAAAATTGTGATTTGTCGAGTTTTAAAAATCGTGTCGTAAAATTTTTTTGTAGGTTATGTTTAAATTGCAATTTCGTTCAAATGAAAATTCCATATCTTTTATAGAATTCTATTAAATAAAAATTTGTTCAAATAGCAATTCGGCTCAAAAAAAAATTCGGAAAAATTAAAATTTGATGAAATGGAAATTCTAGTTTTGAAAAATTTGACTTATTTAAAATTCTATATAAAGAAAATTTTGCTAAATTGAAATTCAAATTATTCATTTAACCGAAATGTTCGAACAAACATAACCTAAACAAAAGATTTTTCAGCGCTATTTTTAAAATTTTTGGAATTAAAAATTATCAAGAAAATTGTGATTTGGCAAATTTTAAAAATCGCACCGACAAATCTTTTTTGTTGATGAGCCAAAAGTTTTGAACGTTCAAAAGAACAACATTTTTTTTGTAACTTCTTTAAATACGAATTTTATTACAAAATATTGTTTTAAATATCTAAAA